CATTTTGTTTTTTATCACGGGGACTTTGTCACCTCCTTTTTAAAAATATTAAATATAAACATGGTAATGTACTCTACAGAAAATAAATTTCAAAAATGAAAAATGTTTATTTAAAGAACAAAATTCCGATTCCGATTATTTAACGTGTTCATGTTTTCTTTTAAGATTATTTTAGGGTTCAATGTACTTAGAACTTCCAGGCACACTAGTAAAAAATGTTATTATTTTATTTTTATTTTTATTTTTTGACTTTAAGCGTTTATGGAAAAAGAATAAATACTTAAATTTTAATACTATCATTTATATTTTTCAAAAGTATATAAAATTACTATACATTTTAATAATTTATCTGTGTGAAATAGTACATGTAATTTTAGTATATACCTAATTTAGAGAAAAACAATTAATAATTTTGATTAAGGGGGCCTTGACAGTTTTACATTAAATTTAGGGAGCCTCACGACAAAAAAAATTGAGAAATACTGTACTAGATTATAGTGTAAAATATCTAAATATAATAAATATAACTAGCTGTCCCGGTAAAAGATCATGTTTTTAATGTTGCATTTCAATTTGAAAACTACATATACATTTTTCACTGTTTATTTTTCTAACATAATTTATATTTATTGAAGAAATATATAAACATTTTTTGACAAAGGTTGGTTGCTCAATACACAGTCAAATATTAACCAAATATATCATAACGCATTATGTCAAAACAAGAATGATATTCACTTACAAAAGAAAAAAATGAGCAAGGTGCTAAAAACAAGAAAACACCAAAAAAACTAAACAATTTTTCAAAATTAGTTTGAAGTTTATAAGATAACTATTATTGAATAATATAATTATAATATAAATAATATACCTAATCATAAAATAAAATATGCAAAATATTTTAAACATGTTTTTAGTTTTTTATGAGCACTAGAAAATAATACTCCACTCTACCAGACTACTATTAGAATTAGGAGTAGAATCATAATAGTTTTAATTTAATTTAAAGATTTTAAGAAGGATGCAAATATCCAAAGAAGTGACTAAATTATACATAATATTTTTTTCTAATTGATGTCTACTCGATAAAAATATTGCCAATGAATAAAATGCAAATGTAATGTATAATTACAGGCTCCAAATGTATTATGCCAACTCAATTAAAAAAAAAAAAACTTTTTATGATTCAATGTTTTTGTAAATACTGACTTCAATTTTAAAAAATATTAGCATTTTAAGTCTGAAGTTTTAAGACATTTTGCATTTAACAGAATGAATATACAGGCCTTTGTAGGACAGGAAGCGCGCTCTGGTGACTATAGAACTGTGGTAATATTTTCAATCAAGAGTGTATACGTATAGGGGTATAGAGTGACGACAACTTATCAATACACCTTGTATGTTTGATTTAAATTTTATCTGGTTATCATAATACAGTTCTTAACAGATAATGCTTGTAATCGTTGTATAATGCATGTTGATATAAAATTGAAAATAAATATATTTGTTTATTTTTTCCTTTCTTAAAAATTTTTTTTTAGAAAATTGCTCCTGTGAATTATATTATGTAAAAACAAGAACGCACAAAAGTGCATCGGTTAGTAAGGTCATGGGAGGGGTTCAAACCCCACGAACCCCCCCTTGAGTACGCCCCTGCTAAACAGTAACTACATAATGTTATCTCACATAAAACCCGCTATTAAGTCAGATCGTCAGGATTTTAGTTCTTATTTATTCATTAAAATATGTATCATATATTATTAACCCGATGTTCTACCTAGTATTTTACGTCTTATGTTGTTCCTTATCAGTTATCAGTTATCCATTTAAATTTGAAGTATAAACTAGGGCGTGAAATAAATAGGTATAGAATTGATTGTTTATTATACATTTTAAACACATAGTGTCACACTTCTTCCCTCAAAAGATTTACATGTAATTACTCTTTCACATTTGCTTATTGTTTTAGTCAAGAATATATTGTAAATTGCATGTAAAAAAAAAACATGGACTGATCCTTAAATCACCCTGGTCCTTGATTTGAACAATACTAGTTACCTAGGTACTACAAATTCTAGTTTAATAATTTTGTTTTTATAAAATCCTTAAAATATGTAAGTCCAATATGTGGTATTGATCGAAACAAATACAGAGCTGCAAACTTTCAGTATTTAACTATAAATCATTTTAGATTGGTACCATTATTTTAGTAACTAATTATTTATTGTCATGTTCAACATATTATTTGTATGAAAATGAAAAAAGTCTATTATTATTTGTTTTCAATAAATTTGCAAAAATAAATGAAAATAATATATAACCTACCGTCATTTATACTTAAGTGTAGTTTATTTTTTATTCATACAAACAATTGTGTAGATATTTAATTGTATAAATTAATGATAAAGAGACAAATAAATAGTAAATACCTACTTAATTAATAATAATGGATTGATTTTTTGGGTTGATCACAATAAACAATATGTTAACTGTTACAAAGTTTGGGCTTAAAATTCCAAACTTGCATAAATTAATATTATTTTGTTTCAAGTAAAAGTAAATTTCAAATTTTGTACCAAGTGTATAGTTTGGGTAATATTTATTATATCATCTTGAATAATAACGAAAATAAACTCATATAAGGTAAAACATAATTAAGATATTTGAAATACGAAGTATTCTCCAATCGGGGTACAATAATCGTGCAACGTGTTTTTGCTCCGTTTTCAATATTTAATACATTTGCTGTTTCTCTGGAAAACTCGAGAATTACTCCATTTTTTGTTGAAGGATTATCATTTATTGTAACCATTAACTTTTTATCGATCAGTCTCACTTCGACTTTGGTGCCTGGTTCTAATAGAGCGTGGGCTGCATTTAAACCATGTATTTTGTACATTCGATCACTAATTGTCATATTTTCCGGAGCGTTATATGAACATATTCCTGTTTGATCTTATTGATCAGAAAACAGATAGAAAACACATTATTATCTTTATTGTTTTACATCATAAATCTATATTTTACATTATACTTATTACTTAGATGAATATATATATTATATACATATATAAAAAATAGGTATGTTATTATAAATACCTTTAGAACTAAAGAAGGATGTTATTGGAGTGAGTAAGTTAGTATTGTCATTACAATAACTTGTAAAAGAGAGCCATGAGAAACTACATTTTGAATAACAACATTCGCAATCAGTTGAACATTTCTTATATAAACTTTTACATGAATCATACTGATGACAGATTATGCCTGAAATAAAAATAAAAATAAAACACAAACAATTTTACTAAATAATGTTTAATTCCACCCAAGCGATTATTAATAATTTATTTTCATGCAGAAATGTATGATGTAAAATTCAAATGTATACATAATTTTTAGATCATAAGACATCTCCATAGTAAATTACGCTAGATACCTATGGTTCACTTGTTGTAGTCGTAATAGTAAAAATGGAAGAATATGCATTACAATTAATTATAATCTATCTCGTTTTATTGTTTTTTTTTTTTTAATAACATTTCCTCAGATGTTTCAAATAAAAGAAAAGTATTTACCTGAAATTGTGCACACTAAATACAATGAAATGAAAACACCTGCAGGTTTCTTCATTTTTATTTTACTGTTTAAATTATAACAATATATGAACTTCTTTATTATAACGTGTTTGCTGTTTTTCGCACAAGCTGAGACTAAAGTAATGAATACGCCGACGTCTGATTTATTTGATAGTTCAATGTCATTTAAATTGAAATTAACCAAATAATTATAACTCTATAACTGCCATACCAATTATTTTGGATATGTAATATTATTAATTGTGTATTATCTTGTCTAATTAGTTCAGTTACTGGCTTACTGCGACATCATACTATCATATTAATAAACATCATAGAAGTATAAGTATATTGTATTACTATATACCTAATAAACTAATAAATAATATTTATAAATTATACTATAATATAAAATAAGTACCTTTTCCAATATAGTAACACTATCAGACGTTCTCAGCCGGGGGATTATTTGTCCCACCAGTGGTGAACTTCGATAAGGTACGGAAGGGAATATATTAGTGAGGAAATTATAAGAATAACATTAAATGAGATTCAAATTATAATAATAAAATAAAGAAAGAAATCTAAAAAGGTGGGAAAGTGGGTGTCGCTCTGCTGTGCAGTAGATCGCTGTAATGGATGGTGACATGGTGTTAAATTTGAATTCAATGATATAATATCAATGTATAATAAAAACGATTCTGAGCAAAAATGGTCAGTCAGCCTACGATATTACTAAGTTTATTTGATGATATTATTGTGAATAAAGAAATTTATATAATCTTGTTTTAATTTTTCAATCCTTAGATATAAAAGTTGAACATTTTATAAATTTTTAACTACTGAATAATTTGTAAATTTTCAATTTGATAAATTTCGTCAATATTCGAACTTCAAAAGATTATAAAAAAAAATGTGAATATATATTTTTAATATTTTTCAACTTCTATTGTAACAATATATCAGGAACCTTGTGTTAAATTTTGACGATTTTTTGCCCAACAAATAAAATGTTATTTATATGAAAAAAAACTAAAAAAATTGAAATTTGAAAATGGCCATACCTGTTGTTAGATAAAGACAACAATAAGTGAGTCAAATATAATTTAAAAAAGTCTATTATTATTTATTAGTTTTCAATAAATTTGCAAAAATAAATGAAATATATTCAAATAAATGTTTATTTTTTATTTATACAAACAATTGTGTAGATACTTAATTGTATAAATTAATGATAAAAAGACAAATAAATAGTAAATACCTACTTAATTAATAATAAGATTGATTTTGTGGGTTGATCACAATAAACAATATGTTAACTATTACAAAGTTTGGGCTTAAAATTCCAAACTTGCATAAATTAATATTATTTTGTTTCAATAAAAAGTAAATTTCAAATTTTGTAACAAGTTTGGGTTATATTTATTATATCATCTTGAATAATAACGAAAATAACCTCATATAAGGTAAAACATAATTAAGATATTTGTAATACGAAGTATTCTCCAATCGGGGTACAATAATCGTGCAACTTGTTTTTGCTCCGTTTTCAATATTTAATACATTTGCTGTTTCTCTGGAAAACTCGAGAATAACTCCATTTTTTGTTGAAGGATTATCATTTATTGTAACCATTAACTTTTTATCGTTCAGTCTCACTTCGACTTTGGTGCCTGGTTCTAATAGAGCGTGGGCTGCATTTAAACCATATATTTTGTACATTCGATCACTAATTGTCATATTTTCCGGGGCGGTATATGAACATATTCCTGTTTGATCTTATTGATCAGAAAACAGATAGAAAACACATTATTATCTTTAGTGTTTTACATCATAAATCTATATTATACATTATACTTATTACTTAGATGTATATATAGGTATATTATATACATATATAAAAAAAATATGTCATTATAAATACCTTTAGAACTAAAGAAGGATGTTATTGGAGTGAGTAAGTTAGTATTGTCATTACAATAACTTGTAAAAGAGAGCAATGAGAAACTACATTTTGAATAACAACAGTCATAGTCATTTGAACATTTCTCATTTATGCTATTACATGAATCATAGTGATCACAGGTTATTCCTAAAATAAATAAACAAAAACAATTTTACTAAATGTTTAATTCAATACAAGTGATTATTAATAATTTATTCTCAAATAGAAATGTATTGAATGAATAATTAATGTGAACATATTTTTTGTGATGGTTTCTTGTTGTAGTCGTAAAAGTAAAAAAGGTGGACGAGTGGATGTCGCTCTGTTGTACAGTGGGTTACTAATGGGTCACTGACTACATTACGTATGGTGTTAAATTTAAATTCAATAATTAAATAATATCATTGTATAGGAAAAATGATTCTGAGCGAAGACGGTCAGATAGCCTATTATAAAGTAATCTAGGTACATAACATAATATATTTAAGTGGAACTTTGTTTTAAATTTTCAATCCTTAGCAATAAAAGTTGAACATTTTACAAATTTTTAACAGCAAAATAATTATTAAATTTTAAATGTGATAAAAGTTGTCAATAATCGAAATTTAAATGCTCATAAAAAAATTGTGCCTACCTAGCTATGTATTTTTAATATTTTTAACCTGCAATTTATTGTAACAATATATCAGAAGTCTTGTCAAACTAATAAGAGATCTTATATTACATTTTCAAATCTTAGATTTAAAAAGAAACATTTTTATGAATTTCTAACATAATAATTTGCCCATTTTGTGATTTTAACGTATTTTGTGAAAATTCGAACTTTAAATGCTTATAAAAAAAATTGTGACTATGGATTTTTAACATTTTTCAAATATCATTGTAACAATATATTAGGAGCCTTGTATTAAATTTTCAAGCTTTTTTACACAACAAATAACATTTTATTGACATTCAAAGAAAAAAAAACTAATAGAATTAGAATCTGAAAATATCCGTTAACAGTACAAAACAAATCAAAATATTTTGAAAATTACATCGTGTATAAAAAATGCTAATATAAACAACCAGCAAAAATGTCATGTTTCTACGGTCATTTGTTTTAGAGTTACACCAAAAACCAAAATCGATTTTGTCGAAAACCGGTTTTGCGTAAAAATTACTGTTTTTCCTTAATTTTTATGTAGTTTTTCCCGGCGCTTTTGAAAACTATTGGGAATTTTAAAATTTGACCTCCCAAGTGCACTAACTAGATTCACTTTTCCATCGAACAACATACTAAAGTTAAAAACCGAATCATTTTTTCGGCTACTTATTGTGTACACAGACACAAATAAAAAAAAAAATCAATACATTCATCGCTCCGCTCAGAATCAAAATAAAAATGGAAGGACATTCACTAAAAATAATAATCTAATTTTATTATTTTATTTAAGAAAATTAATATTTTCTTCAAGGATTTAAAGAAAAAAAGTATTTACCTGAAATTCTGAATAATAAATATAATGCAATGAAAACACCTGCAGGTTTCTTCATTTTTGTTTTACCTTTAAAATTTTATATGAAAAGTAATTATATATTATATTATATCCTAACGTGTTTACTGGTTTTCACACGAACTGTGAATAAAACAATGAATATGTATTGTCATCTGATTTATGTGATAGTCGAATTATATTTAAATGAAAATTAACCTCATAATTATAATTCTTTAATCAGAGCAATTATTACGCGTTATAATAGCTGATATTTTGTATATAGTTTTAAAATATATGTTCCTAATATTATTCATTGTATATTATCTTAGTTAATATGTTTAGTTACTGTGACATCCAGGCGCGGATCCAGAACAGATTTATGGGGGGGGCCATCAAATATTATTAATAAAGTTTATCAGGGTTTAATATGTTAATATTGTTCGACATCAGGATAATGATGATTAGGTTACCTTTAAAAAGACCAAAAAATAATTAAACAAAAATTTTTTTTTTGAAATATTTAGGTTACTCAATCTTACTTTATTGGTTATAAAATATTTAATTACATTACTTTTTCTACATTTAAACTAAATTTTACTATAGTTAATAATTTACGATAAATTCTAATCAAATGTACAACTTAAAATCAGCTTAATTTTCTTATGACTTATGGTTTTCAAATTGCAAATGGAATTTTTCTTTTGCTTTTGGAGAAACGTTCAATTAATTTTTCAACAAATACGTAGTTTGTCGGTGGTACCCAATGATTTATTAAAAGTTCACTCTTCGTATAATCGTCAATATTTTTTTCAATATAATCTCCTATGTCATTAGTATGAAGATGAAAATCATGACTAGAAGATGCTAATCAATGTTCGAATTAAGATCTTTTACTGAATTGTCTGAAATATTTTCTTCAGGTATACTGCTTTCAACTGTGATTTTTTTTGAAATAGGATTGAAAAATGAACTAATTTTTGAAGAAGGACGTTTTTTATCAGTAGTTGAGGCCTACGAAATTAAAGAAAATGTAATAGTTTTAAAATCATCTTATGATGACAATATGAAGTAAAAAATGTCGGTCGTATAAATAAAATATGTAGTAAATTTATTAAAATATTAAAAAGGACGAAATATTACATATTATTTTTTTTATTTCATGTTATTTAAACGACATTTTGAGTATTGTACAAAATATAATGTACAAAATATGGTTTTTAATTCAAATAATCAAATCAGTGGCAGTGTATTAAAATTCAAAATACAGATTACTTACCATTTTTAAATACGCTCGTTTTCTCGCAGTGCGTTGAACGCTGTCCGCATCCCGTAGAAAAATGATAATGTTATATAATATTCAATATTGTAGCAATAGAATTAATGGTAAAAGTAATATCTGCGATTCTGACGATAACGTGAACGGTCACGGCATCGTTAGCCTACGCCACGCCGGTCGCCGACGCAATTAGAAATTACAGAAAAATTCTATAAATAGAATTGTCCGAAAACCAATATCAATTTTACGAAACATTATAATCTAATATAGAAATATTTAATAAGAATAATTCGATCTATTCTATTATCAATGTTATTATTTTTTTCACCGGCCTCATCTTTTTTTTTTTTAGATTTGGGGGGGGCCATTGCTCCCATGGCCCCCCCCTTGTATCCGCGCCTGGTGACATCATACTATACCATATGAATCACATATAATAATATGGGTCTTAATTTTAAATAATAATTTTAATAAAATAGAAATAAGTCCTTATATTAAAACAGTAACACTATTATAGATCAGTAGTTCAGGGAATATAGTAGTGAGGAAATCACAAGAATATCATTAAATGAAATCAAATTATCTCATATTAAAATAAAGAAAGAAATCTAAAGAGTACAAATTAGATTCAAATTATTTCTACCAGAAACCAACCGCAAAGTTTAAAATCGAAGCATTTATTCTACTATAAAAAGTGTCTTGAGATAAAAAAAAAGGTTGTTTTTTTAAGGTTGGCAGATACCAATCTGTTATAAATAATATTATTATTATTACAGTACACAAATATTGTTATAAAAATAATGTTATTATAATAACATAATTATCCAATTAACATAATATTTTTTCAGTTATTTAATAATAATCTTATTTTAATAATTTTTTTATATGGTAATAAAAATATTATTTTATAGATATTATAATAAAATTATTATAATATAATTGTTATAATATTTTTACGGTATTTAATTATTAATAATATTATAATATTTTTTATGCATGGTAATTATAATATTATTTATCAAATATAATAATTAAGCTATTATAATAGATATAAATATATAATTATTATAATATTTTTAGTAAAATTAGTTAATAATAATTTTTTTATGTTTTCAACATATACAGTATTATTACTATTATTTATAAAATATTATAATAAAGAAAGTATAATAGGTGTTATTATAATTATGTGTAATACGCCGGTTTTATAATATAATTTAATATATATATATATATATAGACTACATAATAATGCTATACACAAAGGTGAAAGAGTATATGTACCTATTATATTCCGTTAGGTAGGTATATAAAATTTATTATTATTAATATTAATATATTATTTGTTTTAGAAAAATTGACAAGCAAAGTTCTTTGAACAATTTTGAATTGGAATATTCAAATTGTACCAATTAGTAATTTAGTTATTTGTTGTATTAATCATATTTTAAGTTAAATATAAATTCTTATGTAATTATATTTATTACAATAATTAGATAGAAAATACATTTATTATAAACTACAAAGGTACAAATTAACTTAATTTAAATATATAGTATTTTTATAAACAATAGTTTGATTCTTACAATCTTAACAATAATTTAATGTTTCATTCCTCGCAAATATAATTAATTTCAAAAATTATAAAATTATTATTAAAATTAATCATTATTCAGTTGTGTAATTTCATCTATCTGAAACTGGTAATGACGAAATATATGTATGAACAGAAGAAAACATTATTGAGTAGTCCATGTTATACATTGATATCCTAGCTAGTTTATCTGGAACTTGAAAACCCTCTTTTGCTGACTATAAGAAACAAAAAAATACATTTCATTGTAATTCTTGTAAACATATATTTTTAAGTAACTGTAACATAGGTATTGCAAATTAAGTGTTATTTATTTATTATGATACCGTTTTGGAGGGTAAACAGTTATTTAACTAACATAGTAAACATATGTGTGTAGTTTGTATAATGTATTATGTGCCAAGTTGAGGTAATTTCTGATCTATAGACTTTAACGATACTGGATGAAACTTTGGGATGTGATTTTCAATAAATTTATGTTATAATAAGCTATTAAATGTTTATTAAAATACAACTTGTAACAGGTGTCGGGTTCTTGGTATTAGGCTTAAATAATAATATCAGTTCAAGTTCAGATATATAATTCAGAGGCAATTTATTAACAAAGATTTGAATTTTTAGGTACAATAAATAATTTATGCATGATGTACTTACAGTATCAGTTAAAGAAGAAATAGACTGTTCCAAAGACTGCAACAGCCTTGCCAAATGCGCCCTATGCAGTGGGGACCGCACCGCCAACTTTAAGGGATGTCCAGTATACAAGGCAGCTTCTCAAAAACCTGCACCAAAAATTCCTCCAACTAAGCGCCCTGAATTCAAAGCTCACTCCACAACAAAATCTTACGCAGAAGCCACCAAACAACAACAAAACACACATACAGAAAAATTCACCGACACCTGTTCCATGTTTATATCTAATTTAAGCTCATTAATCAATCCTCTTATCTCCCTACTCTCCACAGTACTAAATACTCTCATTTCCAAAGGCAATATTTCCCCATAATTACATTTGTCCGGATTCCTGATTAAACCTATACATTAAATCACATATACGATATACCATAGTTAGATAAGCAAATAGCTAATATTAAA